CGAAAGGTTTTTGAACCAAAAGGTTTTGAGATCGAGGAGATATTTTGCCTTGACCGAAAGGTCTTATAGATCGAGGAGATCTTGACAGTACTGGGTTGGTGCACACCAGAGTAATGTACTGCTGTTCCTGGAAGTAGTTTGGCCTTGGGATCCTTACACCGGAGTAGGCCAAATATTGCTTTAACCACAGCGTTTCACAAACACCAAGCAGTTAATTGAAAAAGTTTAAAATAACAGCACATCATCCTTCACTGTTTAATTCGAGATTTAACCATAATTTCCATATATATATATATATGAGGTACTGTGGGATCCAAAAATATATGGTGCGTATTATTTGCGTCTATGTTTCCCTTTGGTCTTGTTCAAGACAAAGATTGCATATAACTAGCATTCCTCTTCCTACCAAAGACAAATCCTTGAAGAACCCTACTAAAAAGCTGAGCTTAAACGATCCAAATTCACAAATCAAGGGACACAAAAGCTAATGTGCCATGTATGTGTACTTAAACCTACCTTTAAGCAAAGTTTCTATCGGTAATGATGAGGTAAGTAGTTGCAAAGGGATATTCTGTTGGATATCCAGAATAAATGGAGTGCACTTTTTCGCCGTTGCCCTCTTCTGTGACTACATCAATGAACTCAGAGACTTGTCTTTTGATGGCATCCTCTCCTTTAGAAATGAGACAGGCAAGTCAAAGGTTTTATTGATGATGATGATCAATTGTACATGAAGCTTCATTGGCAAAAGGGTTGATGTTTCTTACTCTCCTTCTCGAAAGTCTAATCCTATATAATCTATGGGTTATTAATATTAGCACATGCTCCCTTTGTCAAGGCTCAAGAGTGGGTTAACCACTTACCTAAAGTGCTTTACATACTAAATTGGCTGATAAAGATTGTGTGTGGGTATATTTGATTAGGCACTAAAAAAAAAAACTATCCCCAACTTTTGATTTGATTTCTAGGGTTGCGTAGATATCATGATTTTCATTTTCAAGAATACTAGGAGTATATAGAAGTTTAGGCTTTATTTACTTCGCAATTTGATTTGTAAAAAGATCTATATTCGGAATATGATTAGGTTCCAAGCTAATGGTATGAGTATAGCTCATGTAAACTTAAATGGACCGAGAGACCTATTCAATAGTTTTTATTTCTTGATTTTGCTTTGAGGTACGTGCTGATAAGTGATTCGTGTCAAGACCGTCTTTGAGATGTTTGCCTTAATGTTTATCTCACGTCTACAAGCAACTCAAAACAAATTCAATGAATAAAAATATCGGAGGGTAAAACCCTCAGTGATCTACTTCAGTTATAGTAGCATTTCACTTGTTCTGTTCTACCCCTTGCTAATTTTCCTTAATTTTCAATTTCAATTACGTTTTTATCTATGTACACCTGGTATGCGCATGAATTCTTCGTACACAAAAAGCATTCTTGGAAAGTATTTTTACATAAGAGAGTAATCTAGTTAAATTTCCATATTTCGTGGTTTGTGGGGCCAAGTTCAGAGATATCCAATATGAAAAAAAGTTGTGGATCGTATGGACCCTCGAGAGCTATGTTTCTCTTTTTGTGATAAAATCTCAAGATCCGGAATCTTATGATGGATACTGCTGGACTGCATATTGCAAGGTCACTGGCGATTCTGTATTGCCAATAACCTAACGCCAATAACCTAACGCCTAAACTAATTGGTTCGATAGAAAAATTTTCAAACCAAACTAATCGCTCTCGCTGGTTTCTCCTCCATTCTTTTCTATTTTCCGTTTATCCATAAATTTATTTCTCTGGTTTCCTCAATTTCTTATTATTATTGCAATTCATTTACATTGTTATTTCATCGATATCTTAATTTATATCTTTCTTAATTTCATTGATTCTCTGATCTGCGTCTTTTGGACTAGAGTGATTTATTTCTTACTAATGCTTTGTTTGGGAGTTCACTAATGGCCTGTTTGGATGGAGGGTAGAGAGGGGGAAAGGAAGAGAAATCTAATTTTAATCTTGTTTGAGTGTTTCATTTAGGAGGGTAGAGGAGAGGAATAGGGTAGGAGGGGGGGATTCGAACCAAAATCTTACATCCCAAATTGGGGTGTAATGAAGAAGAATGGAAGGAAGGGGAACCTTCCTTCTCTTCCCTAAGTCATCTCCCAAACACATTGTAAGGAAAGTGACGTAAAGACAAATAATGGAAAGGAAAGGTAGGGAATGGAAGTGAAAAGATAAAATATTGTTTGGGAGTTTAGTAAGGAGAACAGAAGTAAATTTGTCTTACCTTGTTCAGTTGTTTGTGAGTTTTAATAAAGAGGAGGAAAATAAAGTGAAGATATATAAAGTTACATAAATACCCTTACATATTGGATGTGAGTATATCTTAGCCATTGATTTTAATGTTAAAAGGGTATAATTATCTTATCACATTGTAAAATTTTACATTGGTTTCCCCAAATTGGAGGGGAGAAAAATGGAAGGAAATTTAACATTCCATTTCATCCTCTAACCCATCAAAAAAACTCCCAACCAAGGTGAAATTGAAATTTCACTTTAATTTCCATCCATTACCCTCCATGCAAACAAGTTGTAAGTGGATCCAAACTCAAACTAAATAACGTTACCCGCACTAATTTGGTTCATCTTAGAAGCTAGAATAGTTTGGTTTGGTTTGACAAAGAATTTATCAAAATTGATGGAAACAACAATTTGCTCATACCTTATGCTTGAGCAAATAACTCCTGAAGTTGGGGTTCAGCAAGTGTTATTGCCAAACCTTATGCCTGGATCTAAGTTTGTACATGTCATGCACACACAGGAGACTTCACCTGGAAGTGACCATATACAGGTTGAGCAGTTACGGAAAGCTATATCTGGGAGAGCAAACAAAGGGAAAAAAACCAACACAAACTGGAAATTCAGGGGCTCTTGTGCAAAGGTACAACCTGAATCCTTTCTCAAGCATTTCTCCATATGGACTAGGAGCAGATCCCTCTAATGTTGATAGGGGGGGGGGCAAAACAAATGAATCTATGCTTCTGGAATGTCAGAGGATTAAATAGATCTTCTAAGCAACACATGGTAAAAAATCATATAGTACAGTATCACTTATCCTACATTGCTCTTCTAGAAACTAAAGTCAAGGAAAATAACATTCAAAATATAACAAGGAAGGTTGCTGCTAATTGGAAATATATATCAAATGTAAGGATTCCTGGAAAGGCTAGAATCATAATTTTGTGGGATCCTAACTTTCTAGACATACATTTGATTTCTAGCTCAGATCAACAGATCACATATTCTGTAAAATCTCTCGATGGGAGAGTTGATTGCTTCATCTCTTCAATTTATGGCTTCAATAATCTTCTGGGTAGGAAAAGTCGTTGGTCTGACCTTGGCCAGCTATATCATTCTTTTGGCAATTCACCTTGGTTACTTTGTGGGGATTTCAACACAATGATTAGCAATGAAGAGAAAATTGGGGGAGTTAATCTTTCAGAAACTGACACTAAGGATTTCTGTGATTTCATTGAGAATTGTCAACTTGTTCATCTTAAAAACTCTGGGTGTTTTTTCACTTGGAACAATAAGGAAGAAGCAAACACAAGGGTGTGGAGTAGATTGGATAGAGCTTTGGTAAATGATTCTTGGATCAACAATTTCAATGCTAGTCATGTGTAATTCTTATTGCCAAGTTTCTCAGACCATTCTCCAGCACTGGTTTCAATTCATGAGGATTTCCTACAAAGGAAAAAACCCTTCAAGTTCTTCAACATGTGGACTAAACATGCAAGTTATCTATCAGCTGTGTCTGAAACCTGGCAAGTACAGATTGAGGGTTACAAGATGTATTCAGTCTTCACAAAACTAAAGAATCTGAAAAATGCTCTGAAGGACATCAATAAAAGACATTATCTTAACATAAGTGAGCAAGTGATGAGGGCAAAGAAAAATCTGGATTCAGTTCAGGAAAATTTGCAGAAAGACTATCTCAATGCTGTTCTCATTAACCAAGAAAAGGAATGCTTAGCCTCCTATAATAAATTGCTGGATTGTGAGATGTCCTTTTACCAACAGAAGGCAAGAATTGAGTGGGGAATTAAGGGAGACAGATGTTCTAATTTTTTCCATTCTATTATAAAATCCAAGAGACACCATAACAGAGTGACAGTGATCTATAATAGTTCTGGAGAAAAAATTACAGATGGGGAGGGGATAAAAAGTGAACTAATCTCTTTTTACAAAGGTCTCCTGGGGACTAAAGCAAAGACAAAACCCCCAGATATCAATGTTATCAGGAATGGACCTTGTTTAAATGATACACATATCAGATACTTATCTACAAATATTTCAAAAGATGAGATTAAATCAGCAATATTCTCTATGCCTGATGGGAAAGCTCCAGGGCCTGATGGGTATAATGCAGTTTTCTACAAAACAGCTTGGGGAATCATTGGTGAAGAGGTAACACAGGCCATTCAGGAATTCTTCAGAACTGGAAAGATGTTGGGCATGGTAAATTCTACCTCAATTACTTTGATCCCTAAAATTCAATGCCCCAAAACTCCATCTGATTATAGACCAATATCTTGCTGTAACTGTTTGTACAAAATCATCTCAAAAATCTTGGCAAACAGGGTTAAAACTGTTATGGGTCATTTGGTTAATGAAGCTCAGAGTGCCTTTGTAAAAGGTAGGCAAATATCCAGCAACATTCTACTTGCGCTTGAGTTGATTAAAAACTATGGGAGGAAGCATATTTCACCTAGAGTAATGCTCAACATTGATATAAGGAAAGCGTTTGACACATTCAGCTGGGAAGAAGCATATTTCACCTAGAGTAATGCTCAACATTGATATAAGGAAAGCGTTTGACACATTCAGCTGGGAATTTCTGGAGGATATGCTGCAGGGTCTGCAACATTGATATAAGGAAAGCGTTTGACACATTCAGCTGGGAATTTCTGGAGGATATGCTGCAGGGTCTAGCCTTTCCTAGTAAGATGACAAAATGGATAATGGCTTGTATCTCCACTCCAAAGTTTTCAATTTCTTTAAATGGATCCCTCCATGGCTATTTCAAAGGGGAGAGGGGACTGAGGCAAGGTGACCTTTTATCACCTTACTTTTTCATCTTTGGGATGGAATACTTATCTAGGAGATTGGATAAGTTAAAGAATGAAAAGAATTTCAAGTATCATCCTAGATGTGGGAAATTAAAAATCACCCATCTTGTCTTTGCGGATGATCTACTTTTATTTGCAAAAGGAGATATTCTCTCGGTGCAACATTTGAATCAATGCTTGAATGATTTCAGTACTACCACAGGACTTGTAGCCAATCCTGAGAAGAGTTCAATATTCTATGGAGGTGTATCTGATACTGTCAAAACATCAATTGGAGACTGTCTGGGTTTTAAAGAAGGGGTATGGCCAATCAAATATCTTGGAGTTCCTTTGTTATACAAAAGACTTTCCTATGTAGACTGCCTCCCTCTCCTCAATAAGATTTCTGGTCAATTTCAGAACTGGATGAAGTGCAAAACTTTATCATATGCTGGAAGAATTCAGGTGATAAAAAGTGTGATACTTGGAGTTCAAATCTATTGGACTTCAAGTTATATTTTACCTATGAAAGTGCTCCATAAAATTGATGAACTCTGCAGAAATTACTTGTGGGGGAAAAAGGATCAGTCACTCAAAACTGCACTTGTCTCATGGGATAAAATCTGCTTATCAAAGGATCAAGGAGGCCTGGGTATTTTCTCTGCAGTAATATGGAATAGAGCCTCAGCTTTGAGGAATTTATGATATATACATGTCAATAAAGAGCTGTTGTGGATTAGATGGATTCATGAAAACTATTTAAAAGACAAAAGCATTTGGCAAGTGTAGGCAAAAAATGGGGATTCATGGACATGGAAACAAATGTTGAAGACTAGAGACAGTTCATTGATTCACTGTGGGGGGGAAGCTAACCTAAGTCACCTTATTGCTTCATGCTATAAAAACACCAAGGTTCAACTCTCTTCCCTGTACAAGATTCTTTCCCCCAATGTCAGCAAGGTGAAATGGCGGAATACTGTTTGGGGGGATATGAACTATCCAAAGCGTTCTCTAATTTGCTGGCTTGCTATCCAAGATAGGTTGCTAACAAAGGATAGGCTGTTGCGGAGGAGAATTGTGATAGAAAACATTTGCTGTTTGTGTTCAAACTCAGGTTTGGAGAGCAGGGACCACTTATTCTTTAGTTGTCCTTTTTCTCGTGAAGTTTGGAATCAGGTGATGAATTGGTTGCAGTTTAAATGGAAGGCTTGCAGCTGGAGTTGCCTCCTTGACTGGTTTTGTACCAAGCTTAGAGGTAAAGGGAACAAAATGAAAGTAAAGAGGCTGGCTTTTACTTCCACACTGTATAAAATCTGGTGTGAACGTAACAGCAGGATCTACAAACAACAATGCAAAAACAAGGATCATTTGGTGAAGGAAATCAAAATGGATATATTAATCATTATCCTCAACAGCTCCCTGCCGGAAGATTTCAAAGAATGGATTAGTTCCCTGTAAATAGCTAGATGAATGAACTTCTCTGATATTTTTTAAATTTGATATCTCACATAGGAGGACCTTGTTGTACTTAAACTCATTACTTTTGGTGAATGAATAAAAAATTTTCATTGACAAAAAAAAACAATTTGCTCATACCTAATCATTGGACCCAAGATCCTACTCTATTATGAGTGAATGCGGGTCCAGCTCAAGTCGAGTATCCATTAATGGATAGGATGTTTTATACTTTAGACAAGCTATCTTATCCGTTGCCTATGGGTTTGGAACTTTGGATAGGTACGTAGTGGGTCTTGAGGGATACTGAACACTCCTACAACAAATTAAAAGTGAGTTTATCAACAAAACAAATTAAACATCATTAGCCCATACAACAAATGTTCTACCTAAAAAAATTCACTTAATCAAAAGTTTAAAGAGTTAATAAAGCTTTGAGCGACATGCATGCTACGTAACCAATGGCTTCGTGAAGAAAATCATCCCTCGATGTCAGTATATTGTATATGCTATGTGCTAATAATATATACGACCTTAATTATAATCAAGTAAAATGTGAACAAGGTTCCCTCTCATATACAGATGTACTTATGCTAACAGAACATATATCCATGAAACTTTTTTATGCATATGATAAAATCCTCATTGCTTCAGAAATCGCCATCTCTTCAAGAATCGAAATCTTTTCTCACAAACAAAAACATCACAAAATGCGCACCAAAAACTTTTTAACCAACTCTTCTTGAGATCCATGTAGTTTGCATCTCGCTTTTTGCTACAAAAAACTTTCGGTGCCTAGTACGAATTGATCGATATAGCTATAAAAAAAAGGACATATTATATGCTAGGAGAAAATAAAAATATGATGCTACAAGTTCTCCAAGTGTTGCGTTTAGATTTGGTTTAGGTTCGGTTGGAATCAGAATAAAAATGGACCACTTTAAGATGTGATGAGATTGCGGGATCACCATCCAAGGAATTTGAATTTGTGTTGACCTCCACAAGAGGACAAATAAAAGTGGAATACGGACTTCATATCGGTATTGATGGCGTTGTTGTCCATTATTTTGATTGTGTAGCATGTCTATCCATTAACACTGTAAGGGGTTCCATGGGAAAATTTTGAAAGTTAAGGCGGATTCGATGAGATACCGTGAGGTTCTGAGGGATTTAGCGGGATAAAATGAAAGTTCAAAAGAATTTTGTGGGACAACCGAATTAGTTTTAGGTAGTTAGTTGATTATGTGATATTTACCCTAATCCTTTGCAAATATTGTTGAAAAAGTACTGTAGTTATTGTGTGACAAACTAATAATTGTCACTATTTTTCTAAAAGGAATTTTGATTGTAATTGAAATTGGAATTTTCTACGAACAACCAAACTACACTTTAAGTGAAATCGTTGAGGATTAAGCATTAATTATTTGGATTATTGTCACACTTTGAGTCTTTAGTGTTTATCTTCTCTTTTCCACTAGGATATATCATATATAGCACCTAGTCTCTAGAGCTTTGATAAGACTAAGAAATAACGACAATTTATCTCCACTTTTGCACAACTTCAATGGCTTTGGCAAATTAAGCTTGATGATTGTACTAACCTTCACTAACTGTCTGATACTGACCATTAAAGTTTAATAAAAATTGAAATGAAAAGACCATGACTGGAGATTGAAGAGATTAATTAAAAATATGTGACCCTCGAAAATCACAGAGGTGGGCTTGCGATGATGCTCACCACTTCCATGTACTCTGAACACCTTACGTGTCAACACTAAAAAAAAACATGTTAGACGTTCTTTCTCTTGTATCAAAAAATCCTAAAATTTTAGGCTAAATAGCACCTATATACCCTATTATAGGCGAAAACATTGGAGAAGATCAGGAAAAATGGAGCTGACAAGCATTTGGGTGCTTTCCGGTAGACCGCGAGCTTTAGCACGGTCGACCGGCAACGTGCACGACTTGGTACAGATTTTGGATTTTTGGCCGGTCAACCGCGACGATTTTGACGGTCAACCGCCAAACCCTGTAATCGGTTTTGGGTTTTGTTGTTTGTCGCGGTCGATCGCGACGGTTTTGACGGTCGACCGCCAGTCCGATTTGGGCCTGATCGTGGTTTCTTGTTCTGATTGGGATTGCTGTTTGATATAAATAGCAACCACGTTTTAGGGTTTCTGGGAGAGCAGTTTTGGGGATATTTGGAGCACAGAAAAGGGTCTTTTCTGGAGCTATTTGGTTAGGGTTTTATTTGAGAGATTGAGAGCTTTGTTGGTGAAATTAATTAGTGAGTTTTTATGTGATTTTGTAATCTCAGTTTGTACTCATCTCCTTCTCTATTAGTGAAAACTCATCCCCCCTTACCCCGTAGACGTAGTCAACTTTCTGAGCCACGTAAAATTTGTTTGTTTGTGTTTGTGCCTTTATTTTGGATTGTTTGCCCTTCTCTCTCTGCATTTGGTTTGGTTCCTCGAAGCACAATAATTGGTATCAGAGTTTTGGCTACGCTTAGGCTAGGTGGATGAGTGGATGGCTTTGCAAGCTCATCTAGGGCTTCAGTTGGTGATAAAAGTGAGATTTTTATTATTGTGGATCTCGTTTTCGTCATGTGGGGTTAAGATCTTTCGGAGACTCTTATTAGGATTTTACTTGGAGGTATAAAAATCTCTCTTTTTCAATTTTGATCTATTTTTCGTTTGTTCCGTATTGGTTTGGTGGTGCTATGAGAAAAATGGTCGAGAAAGAAGGAGTTGTGGAGGGTATTTATGGTATGAAGATCATCCAAAGTTTAAATATTTACTCTATGAAGATAGATGTGGAGAAATTTAACGGCACTAATAATTTTGGTCTTTGGAGATGTGAAGTCTTGGATGCGCTCAACGCACAAAATTTGGAGGACACTTTGGAGTTAGATGGGAAATCGGACAACGTTGAGGGGAAGGTTTAGAAAAAGATGAATCGAACGGCATGTGGTGTGATTACGTCTTGTTTAACATAAGATTTCAAATACGATGTGATCAATGCGACTTTGGTTAAGAAGATTTGAGAGATCCTAGAGAGAAAGTATTTGACGAAGAGTGTGAAAAATCACTTGCATTTGAAGAGGAGGCTATATCGCTTCCAATTGAATAAGGAACCTCCATTGGTGATCACATGAACAACTACATGAAGCTTCTTACGAATTTGACGAATGTAGATGTTATGATTGAAGATGAGAATAAGGCGTTGCTATTGTTGAGTTCCTTGCCTGACGAGGAATATAAGACCTACGTTCTTACTCTTATTAATGGGAATGCATCTCTTTCGTATAGTGAGGTCACCGCTGCACTTGTGAATTATCAGTTTCGAAAGAAGGATAAAGAGATTTCGATTGATACAGTAGCGGGGGCATTGGTCGTAAGAGGGAAGATTCCAAATCGTAATAGGAGATCATAGTCTAGAGAAGCACACCATGAAGTTGGTAAGAATCAGTGTGCCTTTTGTAAAAAAGATGGATATTGAAAAGATGAATGTCCAAAGTTAACAGATCGAGCCAGGAAGAATAAGGGGAAAGCTACTTAAACTTCAGAGGTGAATGTTGAAAAGGCTAGTTGTGACAATTCAGATTAGGATTCTTCGGGCTACTCATTAGCACTACCGTTACTTTGTTATGCTGACTCTACAGAGTGGATGTTGGATTCAGGTGCTTCTTACCATATTTGTCCTAGAAGGGATTGGTTCTCTAACTTTGAGGAGTTAAAAAGAGGGGATATCGTGTTTATGGGTGATGATCATAAATTTCCTATTAGTGGTATCAATATTGTTCGTATTAGGACATGTGACAGGGTGATTCGGGAGTTGGATGAAGTGAGGTTTGTTCCGCAGTTGAAAAAGAACATCATTTTACTTGGAGTTTTGGAGGCAGCAGGCTATCGAGTGATCTTAGAGGATGCATCTTTGAAGGTCATATTTAGGTCCATGATTATGATAAAGGGCGTTAGAAAGAATAATTTGTACTATTTGATTAGGAGCACGGTGATTGATGGAGAGCTGAAGAGTTCTTTGGATTTGGCTAGACTGTGGCGTTTGTTGATACTGGGATATTTGATTGTTGATGCCATGCATGGATTGTTGAGGAGTGCTTTGACCTGCAGATTAAAGTCATGTGAGCACATTAGTATGAGCAAGAAGATCGAGGTAGAGTTTGACACTTCTATTGATAATCACATTTTTATTATAATTTTATACACTCATTATCTATTTTATATGAA